GAAACGTATTTGTTCTCAGTGTTCATATCTCCTTCTGGGTTTCAAATTTGTCCTTTTTTGATTTAGTTCATAATTCCACATTTAAATAAAAAATTTATAATGAATATGCAAACAGAAATCCATTGAGCATCAAGAGTTTTAGGGACATTTAAATGATCAAAATTTGGCTTAATCGGTGCACAAATAACTCTACGTCAAAACGTGCCAAGATCAGAATTTTGCCGGAAAGTAATTGTCGGAGAGCGTAATTGCCGTGGCTCAATTAGATCGGCGACGTGTGTGGCTCTTGTGTTCGCAGCGCTCCGCCTGCTTCTTTGATTTAATTTAATTTCGCTCGCGCTGTTATTACAAATTACACGCAGAATAATCGCCATCGGGCTCTTAAGTGCGTCAATAAGCGGGTAAAAGCAGCCACTTTGCTCGCGGATCACTCTCGCACGCCTCTCTTGTAATTGCCAATTTTGTGTATGTCATGGGAACTAATTGTTTTTGAAAATTTCGATTAGATTATTAAGAGGGTGGATAAAAACATCACGTTTACTGAACTAAAATTTAATTATAGAGAGCAAGAGAGGTTTTTCTTAAAATATTTATATACCGTTGTATATAGGACTAAGTTATTTTAAATTATACAAACAAGAAGGTCCTCGAGGGGGGGGGGCATTGTTTATGTTTATAACAATAAAAGGCTGAATATGAGAGCAACTTTTTTTTTACTTTTTTTTAAATGAAAAACGATTTATGGTTCTTTTGGTTCTTTTTTTGTCAAAATTTGCATTTAGTTTTGAATATATTTTACCTTTTATGTGCTGTTTTTTTCAAATATTTTTAAATTAATTTGCTCTATATCCCTGAAGAACAAAATTATTAGATTTTTTTTTTTTAATTCATTAAAAGAAAACACAATCAACCTTTGTAGCTTCTCTTCTATTTTTATTTTTTAATTTGAATCGAATTCCAAGAATGCAAGGCCCGGCTGCAACAATATAAAATATATATCATTGGAAATTCGATACATTTCACCGGTTGTGTTTGTGTGAGTGTGAATGGGGCAATATCTTGGCTGTCACTCATCGCAGCAGTAAAACCCGCTTTTGATACCTATTTAATATTTCGCCGCCGCACGACAATCGGCACTGCACGCGGCGCGTTTAATTATAAATGGGTCTCTCTCATTGTTGTGTGTGCCGTGCTGGAAATAATGACAGCCTGTGTGTGGATCACTCGCTCGCTCCTCACATGTCCTCGATGCGTTCTTTCGCAGTCAGATTTCTTTTTCTCTAATGGAAAAGATATTGTTCTGTCATTCAAAAGTGACGAGAAAGAAGAGAGACGGACGCTGCTGCAGCTCTCTGCAGGCATCTCCCCTGCTCAATTATAGATTGCATTATTGCACTTTTTATTCTTCGCTTTGTTGCGCAACACGCACAAAAAACGCGTCAATGCAGTTTGGGAAATAAAAAGCGTTAATCCATTGTCCAATGTGTTCTTGTTTAAGGACTCCTTATTGACATAGTCAAATCAAGTCTTTACAATAATGGTGATTAAAATTTCCAATTGTCTTTCAACAATCGCCAAAATCTGTTTATATTGTTGTAAGGACTTGATTTGACTATATCAATAAGAAGTCCTTAATATGTATATTTGTATAGAGATACGTTCTTTTGTAATTTTAAATCACTGATCAATTTAATTTTTGTAATTTTTATTCATGATTCATAATAAGCTGATATGTAGCAGATTACGAAAGACTTGGATCATATTTATTTTTTTAAAGCTTAGTAATGAGTTAATGCTTGATATCATTTGCATTTAACAAATTCTTTTAAGTAAATTAAAAATTATTTTAATTTTATAAGAATTTAAAGAAAATATCTGTTATTTTCCTTTTTAATTTAATATTTTGAATGAGATCTTTGATGATAATATTATTTTATTATTATAGATATTTTTAATTATGTAAACATGACACATCTCATAATCGAAGATTAGAAGGAAAATAACATAGATTTATAAAATCCTCAATATTATAATGTAATCTGAACAATTTTACATATAATTTAAAAAATTTACTATTCGGATATTTCTCAAAATTGATTTTAAGTCTTACTTCACATTAAATTAATTGTAAAAATAATTTAATATTTAAAGCAGTTAATTGATTTTAATTAAATATTAAAAATAAATCTTGTTATATTATTATAATAATTTTATTATAAAAAATGTTATTAATTTAATTAGTTCTTGTTTAAAAAGGTGATTATTTGCAAAGGCTACACGCTATTAAACAAAATAATTAATTAAAAATGTATACATATAAGTATACTAAAAGAATAATTAACGAATTCCTTTTCGATGACAGAGTTGATGCAAGTGAGATTGAAAAGAGGAAGCAGTGCGAAATTTCTGTTAATTTCGTTCCCAGAAAAGAACACCTGGGAAAGGAGCCGAAGAACCGCAAACTTTTCACTCGTTTCTTTCTTCTTCGCACCCAGCAATTTGCGCGCGGGTCGAATGTAACTTGCTGACGCCATATCTCTTTTTCTGTGGGGCGAAAAGGACAAAAGTGTCGAAGCGGTAAATGCAGCAAATTGAGCGCTTTGGGTCGCTGAATGGCCTTGCGAGAAAGAAGAAAGCTCGTTTGGCACGGAAATTTGTCGCTTTGTGCTCGCGGTGATAATAATGGGGCCCGCGCGGGGTCAAACGATGTCAACAATGAAAGACACTCAATCACGGCCATTGTGGCGCGCGGCCCATTGTTGCGCCAACTGATTGATTAACGCGCATATTTTCCACTTGTCACTATTGAAAGACTAATATTTTGCCAAGTAATTATTGTCCGGGCCATTCACCCTCTCTCTCGAGAGATCTTGGTGTGTCCCTGTGTCGCATTCGACGCGCTGCCAAATCATTGTCGCGTCGCTCGAAAGTTACAGACAATCGCGTGCCACCATCGAGCGAGAAATCAATCGCCGAATTTGATAAATCATGCTGAAAGTGGGACCCTAATTTTTCCTCTAATTGAATGCCGCCTCATCAGGTGCTTTCGATTCTTCGTCTCGTCTCTTTTTGTTCTCGGAGACACCGCTGCGAGTGTCTTTTGTTCGTCACCTGTTGCACTGTGGAGACAATAGGTTGACTTTTCATCTATGAAGAGACCTGTCAAATGATAGTGCAATTCTCTAGAATTTCATCGTGAATAGCAATATTGACGATTTTCTATGATTTTTGTTTATTACCTGTTTATGACCTAAATTAAAGTTAAATGAATTCAATCAGATTCGATGTTGTTGCTGCTCACATTTTGAAATTGGTGAAATTCCCAATATGTGTTTTTTTTCTCACATCACAGTAGTAATTTTGTCATCATTGTTAGAATGTTTTGAAAGTTGGCTCTAACAATAAATCCATCGATTTGATGAAATACAAAAGTAACTCATGTTTTTTCGTGAGACTTACTTGAATTATTCCTCACTGGATTCTTAAAATTTAATTTAGAATATTAGAAAGAGAGGGATTCTTGTAGATTACATCGATCATGTCTATCCAAAAGAAAGAATTGATTGCAGATATTTTTGCAACAGTTAGAGTCGTTTTTGTGGAGCCAGCAAACTATTCGACAAACTGTTCACTTCAGAGATAAACTTTTGAAGATTTCACAGACAAATTTATTTGCTTACCTCATTTATGCAAAATGCGCTCGAGCTTTTTAAAAAGGCATTATTGCGTCTGCCCAAATATTAAAATTGCCTTGAAAGGTGCGAGCGAGCCGATAAATAGGCTGCTTTTATTTTACGAGGAAATCCAAACTACCTCTTTATATTTTTCCCCAAACGACGGCAGATGGGCCTGCTATAATTTTATTTTGGAAGAGAGAGAAAAAGAAAGAGCGTCTCACAGATTATAAATAAATGAAAAGGGACACGAATTATGCCGGGAAAGGCTTTTAGTCGGCGATATGCTTATTAGAAAAGCGTTGTAAATAGCTCACATAAGGATAGGCCGCGCGAGTTTTTAATTTGTCGGCGGCTAAAAGGGAGGCACACGCGCGCCCATAAAAGTGTCTCCGCGCGCATTGGAAACGCCATTACACGTCTCAATTCATCTCTCAAGGCTGAGCACTTTCATATTATTTTTGCAATAATATTTAGGCGACAATTGCTATCTGGCTCTCGGCCGCGCGTTTAATGGAGAGGCGGCCTTGTTGCAGTTCAAAAACCGACACGGACTTTTCATTAGCGGAATAAAGGCTGGCAGATAAGAGTGGCACGTATAAAAGAGTGCTTTCCAGCAAAATGACCACCGCGCCTCGTCTGCGTCCGTGTGCGAAAGCGACTCAAATATCGCGCCGATAAGTAAATTTACAGCCTCCTGTGTCGCAAACTATTACCCTATCGCGCCGCTCGCCTCTTTCGTCTGGTCACGAATCCCAGCACCGTCGCTCTATTCACCACTAAATTTATCTTTTACTTTTTATACGTACCGTGTACAATTTATAAGGCTGTAATCAAAAGCCAGGCGATTCCTCAATAAATTATTACCGCAGCTAGTTGGACACAAGCGTTGGAATGGAGACAAAAATTCCGTGTTAAATAATTCTACACCAATTTTATCATAATTTTATGAGATACACAATAATTTGAAATTGAATCAGACGTGCAAGCTTCAATGTACGTAATGGGATTCTCAATACAATCATCCGTGTCCAAAATGATCAACACTATTGTGCAAATTTAATAATAATTCTGGAAAATCAATTATGCATTAATTTGGAATTTCTACAAGTAAAAAAATAAAGAAATTTCAAGTTCTAGAACTAATTTTAAAAGGTAGAAATCAAATTAACTTTATAATTGCATAATAATGATAGGTTAAATAGATGATCAAAGTAATACATTTTTATTTTTGTAAAAAATAATTTATTGACCTCAAATAACAAATTCAAATATTTTTTTGAGGGGTAATTTTAAAAGATTTCTTTTCTGTATTAGTGCAACAAAAGACTGTTTTGATATATTATTTTATATTAATGTAACACCATATCTGGAAATTAAAATATATTTTTATCCATCTTGCCGTTATTTACATAGAAAGCTGAGAACGGCGCTTCCGTTTCGCTGCGTCACGAAAGTGTCTGACAAATCAGATTGATTTCCAAGCTTAAATGAAAGGAGGTAGTATTCGGGCATCGGGGTTCTTGAAGGGAATTCATCATTCACGGTGCTCAATAAATTAAATGGATCGTCGGAGGAGTCACAGTAGCCATAACTACTTGCACCAAGTCGACTGGCCGCCATCCACGCTGGCATATGACGATACAAGGAACCTGGTTTCAATTATTTTCGGTTATGATGGAAATTCAGGAAAGTAAATAATTAATGTCTGATAAAATTGATACCAACCTAAAGTACTTGTATTTGCAATACATTGCAATTCTTCTCTTGATTTAATAGCGGCCAATTTCACCGTATTTGCAGCATGTTGAATAAGAATCTGTGTAACTTGCTTTCTGAATTTAACGATATGTTAAGAGTTTATTTGACTAAAATGTCATGTTACCGGTGATCGTATCCAAAGATATTTAATACCACAAGCGGAAAAAGTCTTAGTGTCCAATCTAATACCTAAAAAAAAGAATCAAAATTTAAATTCCTCAATTATTAATACTCACCTGACACGCATTCATTTTAAAACCAAATGTAATTGATTGACTGTTATGTTAATACAGTAAAGACTAATAAATACAAAATTAAATCAAAAATTTTTTTTTTAAATATTATGTGCTTACTATACTATCAAAAACTATCTATATTATTATTGACATCACAGAAATTTTAATTGGTTGTTTCTAGCCGTAAAATCATATTTCTTCTCTTACAATTTGTACTTGTTTGTGGTGTGCGGATATTGGAACACTGACCAGATTGCATTTGATTTTCGCATGATCTCGCATTTCTTGGCTCGCAGCCGCAGAAATAAATGCCTTTTCAGAAATCCATAAAGAGGCATACAATGTTAAACGATAGCGCGAAAATAAATACTTATCTTCGGCTGAAGAAGCTTTTAATGCAGCATGATGTGCGGACAAAATTGCCACTTGTTTAATATTGACTCGAGGAAAATGACTCCTCAATGACCGGTTGTTATGACTGAGTTTAATAATATCACTCCATTTCTGCAGGTTGTCACGACGCCCCGAAGTGAAGGAAATTTTCAGCCAAAACCTTGAAAACGCGAATCAAAGGCGGCGAGCCCCGGGAATAAATCCGAGGGAATTAATAAATTACGAATATGCCCGATATAAAAAAAAAAATTAAATAAAGAGCGGCGAATATTTGAGGCGCGCGAGCGTGAAAACGCGATAAATATTATTCGGCTCCGGCTGTGCGGTGTCTTGAGATTTTATCGGGCGCAGAATTATGAACTGCTGCTGGGGTTGTAAGTGAGGAGCTGTCCCAGATAAGGCGCCGTGTGTTATTGTTGCTGAATATATGGCCGTGCCGCAAACACGGGCAGCGGCGCAATAAACACGTTAAAACGGCAGCCAGCCTCTCAAGGTGACGCCTCCAGGTGCAAAGGCACAAACGGCCGCTTCACCCTCGAGTGACCTCTTTCAACCTGCGGCCACCATTCTTCTCTCGCGTGATTTACGCGCCGATTCACGACGCGCCGCTTTTCGCCCTCTTTCCGAATGCCCAAAACAATGAACGAACACAATCAAAAGATTAATTTTATGCCCTTCGAGCAAAACTTGGAAGGGCAAGGTGTTCTCCAATATAAATATAAATTCATTTGCTATAATCTTGACAACAATTTATTCAAATAAAATCAAATTGATTAATTTTCAGGGAAAATAATTCGCGTTCTTGTATTTGAGTCTATTGTTTTGTTAAATTTACTTCAAGTTACTTAAAAAGAAAGCATGAAGTCATCAATAATCTATATATTTCAATATCACACCTACATGCACTCCAATTAATATAAAGAAATTTCTAAAAAAATTATTTTCACAAAGAAATTATTATTTTCATAAAAAAAACCTTGCAAAGAAAGTAAAACTATAAAAATATTTTAATAAAGAAAAATTGAGAAAAGGAACCGTTTATTTTGTATATAAATGTTGTAAAAATTTAAAATATCTTTATTTCTTTTGTTCATTTGTTCACTTTTTTTGCAAATGAAAATTGATTTAAATACTTTTCGCAAGAGGAATTCTCGCTCTGAAAAAAATTAGATAAGCAAACAATGCGTGATTTATGGATTTATTTCGCAATATTCGGTTCCCGCCCTTTGACTAGTGTAAACGGCTCAGCTTTCAAAATCTCAAACTGTAAACGAGCTGTGGCCAAGCAATTTTCGTTGCATTTTTGTCACGTTGCCAAAACGTCATGTCAAATAAGTAGTTCGCCACAAACGAATTGCTGGCCTACTCACCCACTGAAAATATAATAATACAATTCAAAACTTTCGCGCTGGAATATGAATGAGAGATCATTTCGCGTGTGCTTGTGTAATGATGGATTAAAACGCGCGCATTGTCTCTGCGAGCTTTTTTTATTACGATTTGTGCTCTCTCGCATTGTAATAATTTGCCCGCGCACGCGGCGAGTGTTTTATTGAGCAACACGAACGGCAGCAGCTCTGCTCTCGATGGCATTTCACAGAACCAGCTAGGCGTGGAACAATGCGCCGCGCAATATTGTCTTGTGTGTTTGCAATTGAATATGCCTCTGCAGGGCTGCGTACCAAAGAGGGGCCAACGCCTTCATTCTTTACAAATAAGCCGGGCCCTGTCACATGCACTTCAATTCACCATCAAAGTGACAGATCAAATTTTGCATAATTTTCATAATGAATTGACTGTGTATGCACTCTGATGAATCAATTTATTTCAACTTGAGAGACATTCTTTCATATACTTGTCAACCTTTTGACGGAGCAATTTCATTAACATTGTGAGAGCTTGACAATGAATCATGGAATAATAATGCTAAATGCATTATTTGTTGATCTTCAGATATTTTTACTGCGGGATTGAATCAATTAAATACCTGTAGTCAATTTATAGGCAACAAATATTAATTACATATAAATACAAGAAATCTAGGTTTTTTTTTAATTAATTTATTTTTGATGATCAAGTCCCATCTCAATAAGATGATATCAATTATTAATAATATTTATCATAATCATACTTAGTGTAGTCTATATTTATTCTATAAGTATATTTTGAATTATTTAAACTTAATATTAACCATATTATCAATTAATTGAGCAATTAAATAACCACATTACAACACAAAGAACACATTTGGACCTTTTTATTTTACTTTGGAATTAATCTAATAATTTGTCTTAACAAAGCTGATAAAATTTAAAACTTTAAAGATTATAAAAAATTTAAAATAATAGTTTTCTTTTTACATTTTAATGACTGATTAAAAGTAGAAATAAATTAAAAAATTACATTTTAAGTTTGTTTATAAAATTAATCAATATAATTATGTTATTGAAATTAAGATAAAAAATTTAAAATTTGCAAAGTGTTCGTTATAGTAAATAAATTTTTTTTTAAACAAATATAAAATTTTATTGCACTCTTTGACACACTTTCAGTTCTTCTACAAAAGGATTTTAATAATGAAGTTTTTAAACTACAATAATTTCGGCAGGTTGCGAGCAACAAAAATTTTAGTCAATCAAGTACAATCGAGTAATGGACGCTGCCGAGGGTGGGAACTGAAATCGGATATTGAATGTTGAACACGGTGTTCGGCGGGCACAAATAAATAAACGGCTGATTAAAACATCATGCTCAAACGAAGCAACAAAAAGCAACACAGACGCCCACTCGGTCTTAACGAAGGGACATCTCCGGATGGCAGCCACAATAATTTGGCGCACGTATCAGGTGACCCTTTCTTTGTCGTTCCTTTTTAGGGTCCACCTGATCTGCTGCGGGGTCAAAGACACGCCTAAGGCGCCACTCGGGCAGTAAAATTCAAGTTCCGAACAGACCACCTAGAACCATCCGGATCTTTGATCTTTTTTCAATAAAAAAAAATCGTGCCTGTAAAAACAATAAGATTAATATCTATAACGACTATTTGTATTTTTACTAAGCAATGTAAATTTTATTTGAAAAATTAATTAAAATCATTGGACTTAATTTGAAATTTGAATATTTAAAAAAAAACTGCTTCTTAATATTGTTATAAGGCTAGTTTTGAATATATTTTGTTGCTGTTAGTTATGAGACGACTCTCTCGCAGATGATGCGTGTTGTTTTCGTTCTCTCGGCCGCTTTTAGGGGTGCGTGGGGTGCGACGTGCTCTTTTTATGGAAGCTTGTCGGCATTGCAAGAACGCGCGCGAGTGGGCCGCCGCATGTTTCTCGCAGCACTTTTCTGCACCTGCGTCGCCGCTCTCGCGATTGGACACTTCTTCTTCTTCTTCTTCGTCTGATTTGAATATATGCGAACGTATACATTTGAATTCTCGTTACACTATTACGCCGCTCGCCTGTGTATTTATTTGTAGCAACACGGCTCATACATTACTACCTGCGTCCTGCACTGCCCCCCGTTCTGCTCTGCGTTCAAAATGTGTACAAGGATGCACAAAAGACACGCGAGATGATTTTCAAACTGCAAACAATAACGCTCTTGATATGTTCAAGGCCTAAATATTTAGTGGATTTTTGCTAAGGTTTGACAGAAATTAATTTTTTCAGATTTTCCTGGAAGATCGTTCTCAGGATTGCTATTAATTTTCGGAGATGACTGACTTTGAGTGATCGTTCCCTGGGAGGGTAACAAATATTTTCGTAGACGTAATTTTCAAACGCGAGGAAATTACCTGAAAAAGTGGCGGGCGGAGTAATTTATTAGGCCGGCGTGCCAAATGGCCTTCGGTGCAGTTTTTTTTTGCTCCGGTCCAAAGGCAGATTCGGCGGCGCGATTGCGGAAAGAGATGTGCTCTCGGTCTGCGGCCGGACAGCAACTTTTCTACTTGATTGTTATCAGATAGTGCGCGGATCTTTGCGAGATTTATTTGGCCGGCCAGCCGTGGGTCATAAAAGGCTCCGCGAGATACGCATCTGCACAGAGGGTTCTCTTTCTCTGTGCCGAATGCAAATCAGACGCCAAATTAGCCAGCCGCTAATTAGGCGGCCAAAGGGGCGGGCCACCGGCCCAAAGAAGTGCGCTCCACCCAACCTGCAAAAAAATAACCCCTTACAATGTTTCCAAAATTTATGCAATGGCTCATTACATCTCTGTGTGTGCAGGATGAGTTATAAGTATGGACGTGAAATGTCTGATAAAGTATAAACGCGTTGCCCTCCCATGTGAAATGTGCAATTGTTTGCCAAGTCATGTGTGCAATTTTCGTCTGCCAAGGTTGGTTCTTTCAATTTGTATTCGTTAGAGAAATGAGGAAAAAGTAATAACGTGGTTCAATTTTGGCAGAGAGTTAATTTAACAAAGAAAATGATTACTAAAAAATTATCTGTTAAGTGTTTAGTTTAAAAAAACCTAATTAAATTTTATTTTCTACACTACCTTAATTATAAATTAAAAATTGAACACATTATTTATATTATGTAATTTTCATTAAATAAATTTTGTTTATTATTTATCATTCGTTATTATAAAGTAAAAAAAATACATAAATTATATTATATGA